GATCCCTAGTATACCAAAAAAAAAAAAAAAAAAGGCCCTGGGTTCAATCCTTAGGAAAAAAAGACAGAGAGAGAGAGAGAAAGAGAGGGAGAGAGAGATCTATGGGGCTGTGAATTATTCATATTTTAGAGGCCCTCATTGGGTTTCAGGATGGAAAAGGAGTCTAGGGGAAAACTGAAGGAACAAACAGAGGTGCAGCAAGAACCCCATCTCTCCCTGGGGCACCCCTCAGAGAGAGCTTGCCAAGGCTGGGACTGGAGAGGGAAGACAGCGCCCCCTTCCTTCTCCTGGCCCCGCCTCCAGGACTCAGAGGTCCCCTACCTCGGTGGCCACTCCAGGAGTGTGACTCACCCTGACCCCAGCCCTCCAAGGAGACCCCACTTATCAACAGAAGCCAGACCTGACCACCCACATGCTCTCCCACATGACGGTCTGCCCTCAGCTGACCCCAGCTCCCTGGTTACCTCTCTGCCACTCCCTCCACCTGGCCCCAGCAGCCTGCTTATTACTCCAGGTCCTTCCCTGACATTGGGAGGGAAGAGGGAGGGAAATTGCCACTCTCCAGATGACCCTTGAATCTGTTCCTTGGAGCTTGGGTTCAGAGGGAGGGGAAAGGCCAGGCCTGGCCCAGACTGTGTGGGATCTTGGCCTGCAAGCTTGAGGTGGGCAGTGGGACCCTTAGCTGGCCCTTTCTCACACAGCACAGAGGAGTGTGGGCAGTGGCCGGGAGCCAGCCAGCCGGTGTGCACACTGCTACTCAACCAGCTTTGGGCTCACCACCTGGAGCAGATATACCCACATCTCCATCAGTCCAGAGTCCTGTCTGTCTGTCCATCTGTGGCTTACATGCAAGGACATGTTCATTCAGAGTATTGATGAAATCTTAAACTTGAGTGTGTCATTGACCCTTTCAAGCACCGCCCATGTACACATTTCAGAGGTGAGGAAACCAAAGAACCACAAGGCACGAGGCCGGCCCAAGGCTCCTGAGCCTTCTATGGAGAAGCAGTGCCCTGTGTGCCCTGCCCTGCGGAGGAAGCACCTACCTCCAGGACCCCACCCCAGGCCCAGCCTCAACTCCATGACTCAGGGCTTTTCCCAAGGTCACCTTTCCCGAATCAGGCCTGTCTCAGGCAGGGTAGAGGGTGGGGCGGTGGGCAGGAGTCACACCCACTCCAAAGCCTCACCTCTCCCTCCTCAGCAGCAGGAACAGCTTGTCAGTGGTGTCCACTTGATTGACCCTCAGATCAGGCCGCCTACTCACTCTAGCTGGCACACAGGCATGCAGGCACATTCTCCTGACCCTCTGGCTTCACTGTGGAGAAGAGTGCACTTGGAGAAGCTACACTGTGTGTCCTCGGGGAGAGGGCACTGGGTGAATGTGACCCCGACAAGGTATCCAAAAGCCGCTGGCTGGACTGGCTGGTTTCTAGTAGTCAGGGTGTAGGCTGGTAAGAAAGCAGCTGGGATGGAGGAAAACAGGCCCCTCTCCATGGGGAGCCAAATGTCTAGGGGTGGATTTGGGGGGGGTTGAAGGGGTTTTGGTAGGGTTTTGAGGATTTGGGTCTTTTGGTGCTGGGGATTGAACCCAGGACCTTGAACATGCTAACTAAGTTCACACTCTAACCTTGAGCTATACCCCTCGCCCCCCCCCGCCCCGCCCCCGGATTTTTGTGGTGGCTGGAGGCAATGTGAGAGGGGAGAAGCTACCTGGCTTGTTTTTCTCCACAACACTCCACAGCCCAGAACAAGAAGGTTCAGGGCTGTGGCCCGGGGCTTTAACCCAGCTGTGCAAGATGAAAGGCAGAGGGAGAGCAGTGGCCAGTCTGCTAAAAGATTAGAAGCTGGATTGCAAGCACAAGGTCCTGAGTTCGATCCCCAGTACCAAAAAAAAAAAAAAAAGATTAGAAGCTGGAGGTGTTCACTGTGATTTAGATGCCCTGAGACACTCCTGTGACAGACCCCAAGCAAGGGTCTCCATGTGGGTCCTAAATCCTATTTCACCCAGATGGACCTGGCTTTGGGTCCTTAGGCAGTGGGAGGCCTTCATCTGCCCCTCTGAGGATCCTTGTTGGAATCAAACATGGCTCAGTCTGATCCCTCACTCTGTAGGGGAAGAAACTGAAGCACAGAGAAGGGTCAAGCCTTGCTCAGCCCACGTGGCCAGTCTGGGGCAGGGTGGGTATCCGAATCCAAGCTGGCAGGCTCCAGGTCTCATGCCCTTCGAGCTCCCTGCCTAGTCCTTGCTGGGGCCCCTCTCTCCGACATCACTGTCCCCAAATCAGGCCTCCTCATTCAACTGCTGCCTGCTGACTCTCTGCTCTGCTTCCCACAGGGCCCCTGTGCAGCATCCTGGTGGGACGCTACGGCTGCCGAGTAACCATGATGCTGGGTGGGGTGCTGGCCAGCCTGGGCATGGTGGCCAGCTCCTTCTCCCGCACAATTACCCAGCTCTTCCTCACAGCTGGAATGATCACAGGTGACTTTCATTCCACCTAAAGTGGAGGAGGAGAGTGTGGTAGGGCCCTGGGCTCGGGTAAGATTGGGCAGATGTGAAACAAGAGCTAAAATACCCAGGATACTGAGAGCAGGAAATAAAGGAGGGGTGAAGAGTCTGCTCTTCTCAACAGAGCAGCCAGGGAGGTCTTGGAGAGAAGGTGACATTTGATTAGTGTATTAGTCAGCTGTCTGTCACTATAACAATCCCTGAGATAATCACTTTATAAAGAGAGAAGGTTTATTTTGGTTTACAGTTTTGGAGATTTTGGTCCATAGCTTGGGCCTGTGGTGAGGCAGCACATCATGGCAGTGTCAGGTAAAAGGGCCGAAAACCAAGACCAGACCAGGCCACAACAAGCCTTTATTAGGGAACAGATCTGCCGGGCTGTCTCTGAACAAAGGAGAGACAAAAGCAATATGGCCAGGGCAGGGAGAGTCTTTTATAGAGACTGGGGT